AGTAAACTACTAGTTTAGTAGTTTTATACTGCAAGTATACTCATAAGTTTTCTTTAAGTGAACTTTACATCATACTTTAAGTATAATACTATGTCCCTATTTAAGTTTGTATATATTTTGTTATATAAATATCTGAACATACAAAACACCAAAAGAAAGAACAGGGTATCTGCTTGTAAACAAAAAACATTTTATTCAAGCTTCATGCATTCTTTTTTTAAACACTTGAATGTGGGTAAGTTTCATAAATAAAAAAAGAAAGAAAATAAATACATTTTCTTTTTTGAACAAAAAGCTGAAAAAAGACTATGAATTGGATTCAGAACGATAATCAAAACGTAGATAGAGTCGATCAACACCCCAAAGCTTGACAGTCATTATTACCTCTTCATTGGTCGACATTACATCAATTTTACACAGTTTTGATGCTGTTTTATGTCTAATGACCATGTTAGAATACATGTGGAAGCATCTGTTGTTTCGGTTTCTTCTTCACTTGTGTTTTTTGGAAATTCTGTACAGAAAATGTGTACTAGTGCGATTCTAGGAACACAAATATAGCTCAAATATATTTAGACTTTTTCTAAGTAGGCTATAAGTCAAGTACACTTAAATGTCATTTTAAATATATTTCTGAGAAGTACACAAAGCCCATTTCTGAGAAGTACATAAAAAGTAGACTAAACGTATACTTTCCTATTTTTTAGTTTAAAAGTAGTATACTAATAGCACGCTTGAATAAACTTCTTTTTCGTAAGGGTATCCATCTGCCTGGTGGTGTGACATACAGGCTACAATCTGGTTTAAAATCACACCTGTGTAGTAACGGATTGAGGATGTGGAGAAGGTTCTTGTACCTGAAGACCTGTGGGTTTTGTTGTTGGTTCAGCGATGGGGGGTTTGTTGACATTTGCAAGTGGGTCATTAGGTCTTGCAACCACTAAAGTGAGTAAAAACAATATATTGTTGAAGCTCTTTTGACTTGTGGTAGTAGTATGCAACACCCAAAAACCACATTTCAGAATGCCAGTATTGGCACCACACATATTTCCTCCATAAAATGTAAAAATTTAGTTTTTATTATTTTATTTTCAGGTTTAATGCTCAAAATTTGATCAGTTTTGATACGCAACAGTGGTAAGCAACACTCTAGCTGCACCGTAGAAACCAATCATTAGAATGCAAGAACTGGTACAACTTTTGCATTAGAAAACACATGTATTGTCTTCATAAACTGTAACAATTTTGGAACAATTTTCCATAATTTCAACTATCAAGTTGAATGCACAAGATTTAATCAACCCCAGGAATAATACGAGGTAAAATTCAGTTTATGCAAAAATAAAAACTCACATTATCCAACCAGCGATGCTGTTTTTATCATTTCACCTGCATGAAATTGCAAAATATTAAACACACTATCGCTAAAAACTCCAAGAATTATGGTGAGGCATACCTTATAATTAAAAGCTGGTTATTGGTTTTCTAATGTGTTTTAATATCATTATGATGATGTAATGTGTGTAGTGCAATACATGCCTCAATGTTACGCAAGCAGAAAAAGGAAAACATCTAGAACCTAAACTGAAAAAAAAAAAAAAA